AGAGTGAGAAACCAGCAGCATGAGGCAAAAACAGGCAGGAGAAAAGCTGGGGCTCATTTTGGGCTGCGAATCTGCCAGGAAGCATCAGTGGTGACTTCTCAGTCTTAGACTCTTTAGACTTGGGGTCTGCCAGGCAAAGCCGAGATTAGGGATCATGCACCTGAGAAACTGTTGGTCTGTCCTGAGAAAAACCACCTCTTTTCAGAGTTTTACCACTTTCAATCGACCCATAGCCAGAACTGCAATTAAGCTTCAATGTATTTTATAAAAAATAGTATTGGTTGACTTCCACGTCAGTGAAGAGATACAATTGCACAATGGTGGTTACAATGGTAGAAATACACACTGTCGGTAAAATGCTTGCAAGAGATTTAAAAACGTACTGTACAGCACCACATCTGAAATCGGGTGACGGCAAAGTCAATCCTACTGCGTGTCCAGTAAATGGAATTCTTAAATCTTTCTTTTGGAATAAATAAAAAAATACAATGTGCAGTATGTGTCTGACACTACTGAAATATGTCCTGAAGTTGAGCAACAGGTTAAAACCAAAAATGAGGTAAAAAAAAGACATTCATGTATTTAAGCCACCATTAGTCTCTGACTCTAAAGTAAGGCAGATCGTAATCTTTTGAACACTGTCTTTAGCCACTTCAATCCTTTTCAGTGCTTTTCAAGACAAGGTCTTGACAGACCTTGCAGAAATGCTTTTATTTCCAACAGGTCACTTCTGACAGGCTCGGCCGTATTTGAAATGCGTTATATGGTAGAAATGCCACTTTTCGTTAATGAAAAAAGAAATGTGGATTAACAGGAACCAAGAGCGGTGGATGCTTTGGAGCTGATCACAAATGACACTGCTTCGAGGGAGGGAGGTGGGGGGACGGGAAGGGAAAAAGAATTATGAGTCGTCTTCAGTTTTAATGACATGGAAAAGAGTGACATTAAAGAGGACTTGATGTCCGTTATTCCAGGCATAGAGAGCTCGATCTCTTGCGTTGTAGTCAAGCATGGATATATGGAAATACTGATTATGGAAAGGAATGTCTGTGTACTCGTAGGTGGAGGTTTTTGTGGAGTAAGAGTAGTAGACCTTGGCTCCTGTTAAGTGCGAGTTGGTGACGTACAAGGTGCCGCAGATCATGAAGGACTCTCCAGCGCTCCTCTTGGGGTAGCCTGTGCTCCAGCTCTGCAGCACCTCCAGCGTGTCCTGGTTGAGCTGGCTGATGACGATGTTGCCTGCGTTCTGGTTGGTGGCGTACACCGCCCAAAGGCCGATTTCGTCCGCCATCAGGTCTATGTCGGAGAAGCCGCCCCAGGTGTAAGGGTAGACGTTGTGAAAGCCGGCGTACTCGAGGCTGCGCTGCGCGAGCACCCGCCCCATGTCGAAGCTGTACTTGATGATGATGTTGCTCTGGTACTTGTTGAAATAGAGGGAGCCGTTGTAGACGACATGGTTGGTTCCTGCCCATTTGAAGGGAAGGTTGTATGTCCTTGACTCAGCCCCGCTGACAAAGTCTGCAATGGATTTATATTCACGGACAATTTTATTGTTAGTGTAGCCATCCATGTACCAGACCTGGAAAGAAAAAAAGGATTGGAAGTGAATGCCTGGAACGCGATCTGTGGTACGTGACCACGTATGGCATGAGGGATAGATGGCAGACAGAGAAGGAAAAGGGGTTTTGGCTTTCAAAGCACAACGTTGTCCACATTCCTGTCACAAAAGCATGAGGGTCTCCTGAATTCCTAAATCAAAACTTCCTGTCCCAGAGACCTCTCAAAATGACTGCAATGGCAGTGCCTGTGTTTTCAGGGCAATTTATCTCTGGGTTATTCAGTGTTTGGGTCTCTGCTGTATAGGACCTGCTTGAAGATATTCCCAGAGACTAATGATCGAAGAGAGATGGGAAATGGCACGTGAGCTAAGCTTGGATTTGTGCTTAGGAATAAATTTGATGGGACTTTCTTCAGCTGAACCTCTAATTGATGAAAAATAGTATACTCAGTAAAGAAACCAAATACTGGCTCCATTGATACTATAAAGTTTAGGAACCATTTTTTCTCTCAAAACAAAAGCCATACTTTAATGCTCTGTATACCATTCCTCCGTTTGTTCCTTCATGCATTTTGCCTTTTCTCCTTTTCGTTATCAAATCCTGACTGGCAAAAACCAGAGTAATTTCTGGAGATACCTTTTGTGCCGATTTCCAAAGTGGCATTAACAAAGCACTTGTGGAAGTGCCGTTTCAGGTCCCCGTCTTCCCAGCTGAGATGCTGTGAGGGATGTGGTTTGTTCTAATTCACATGCGCAGCCTCTGTCTTGCTCTAAGGGGATGGCAGTGGGGGGATGCGGGGGCTACAGGATGTGTGTGGGGGGCAGAGACGGGAGCAGGTGAGTGCCCATGGAGATGGCTCTGGAGCTGGTGCTCGGTGCTGGCAGAGGCATGTCCTCAGGAACAAAGCAGTGTTTGCTGCCCTCCTGAAGGTCCCTGGGGTCAGGGTAAACCTGCACAGACACAGCGGGCAGAGCTGCCCACCACCTGGAGCCCCTGCTGCGTGTGTGCTGCCTTGCTGCTCTCTGTTACAAAAATTAACCTCTGGGTCTCAGACAAACAAAACCCATCATTTTGACTGCAACAGCACTTTGACAGAGGGAGCATCTTCTCAGCTTGAGACCATATTGCAGCTCCAAACAATAACGTACCTCAGACCTGCGGCAGCAAGTGGTCTGAATACAGCATATATGGGGCCTAATCACAGAACAGTTTGGGTTGGGAGGACCTCAAAGCCCACCCAGTCCCACCCCCTGCCATGGGCAGGGACACCTACCACTAGACCAGGTTGCTCCAAGCCTCATCCAGCCTCATCCAGGGATGGGGCATCCACAGCTTCTCTGGGCAACCTGTCCCAGTGCCTCCCCACCCTCTCCAGGAAGAATTCCTTCCTGATGCCCAATCTAATCCTGCACAACGAGACTGTGCTGTGTTAGGGGTCATGCTCGTGGGTAAAAGGGTTGATGTTTGTGTTACTTTATTTGGGTTCTTAAAACCCTGAGCCCAATTAAATATGGTAGAAAGAAAGAAATGGTGTGGTCAGTTCAGACAGTGTATGTCACCCTGGGATGGCTGAATGAAATGGCACAAAACTTCTGGCTTTGGGTATTTTTGCACAAAACACTGATGTTTAACAGAAAAAGTTATGGAAGCAGAAGCAATATGCTTGACAGTGAAACCTCCTAGGGGAAAACATCTTTTTAAATCTGAAAATAAAGCAAGTAAAACTCCAGAAGGACACAGAGATATTCAGTTCCTTAACATACTCGGTTATTTTTCTCTGATGCTAATGGATCTGTCATCCAGGCTCCAAATCGGGTTCCGGATATCTTGATTGTAATGGGGCCTGTAATTTTCATCAATTTGCCACATGCTGAAATTAGAAAAACAAATGCATTAATGCAAATAATTACACAACTCTCCTTGACATCAGCCAGAGTACAAGACCAATTGCTCTAAGCTAAATAGCGGCTCCGGGGGATTCAGGCTTCTGTTGAAGATGGATCGTCATCTCCACGGAATGAACTTTTCTGTATCCAGCAGTCAGATACATATGTGTAAACATACAAATAAAACTCACTTGTGTATATTTTTGCTTTTATGTATTTTAAAGCACAGTTACATTTTCTGAGCATAAAGAAAAATACCACCTAGTACAATCCCTTCTGAGCAGCAGCAAGGAACATTTAATAGGGAATGCAGACACAATTTCCCCTCGCTTCTGCCCCCCACAACGTTCAGGGCAAGTCTAGAACTGACGGGTGTTTGTTTTCCACTGACCAAGGTAATAGGAAGCGTAAGGGCAGCCGGGACAAACGAGGCTGCAGGCAAAGGCCGTGCCTGCCCTGCAGTCGCACCCCCCTGGCTGTCCCGGCACTGGGGCACAGCTGAACTCGGCGAGCGTGAGAACTACTCAGCAGCCTCGGCTGTATCGCTTGGTTTATAATCCATCAGGCTGTCTCATATTAGGCTGTCTGGGAGGGAGTAGTGAGAGTCGATATGATCTTGGATGCTGACCATCCTAACAACCCAAAAATCTATATTTTAGGGGACATTAATAACACACCTATTAGCAACAAGCCCCTGGTGAAGTGCATGTTTACCAAGAGGCTCAGTATCACACAGTGTGTGATTATATGAAATAGCACGTTTGCAGAAAAGCTGCTCCATAAGGATGTAAAAAGAAGCGACATGTTTCATTAATTTCTGTAATTTAATTTAAAAATAAGTGCTCTCCATGATAGGTAGCTGTGCTGTAGTGTACAACCCCATCCGCTGGGAAATGTGGAAAAAAAGGGGGTCTGGCACTGGGAGAGAACTAATTCAGTGAAAAGAGAAGGTCACATCAAGCCTGGGTTTTCTACTTCACGTGTCTGGCAAGGAGTGCACCGTGAGACCCCGTTCCTGTCAGCGAGCAGGGGCTGAATCCTGCAAAGCCAGCACGGGGGCTGCTTGTGGGGATTCAGTCACGGCCAGGGAAGGGGAGTGCGATGGAAGTGAAGGCAACTGGGTATGAGCAGCATAGGCTGTTTTCTGGGTCGATTCAAAGACATTATTACTGACATATCTCAGCCTTTTGAAGATGCTTTGGAATTTCCCCATCTTAAAGAACCTTACAGGCTTTCTGCAGTTGGTTATCCTAGTCCGTAACTTTTATTCTGGTCCTGCAAAGGACCCGTACGTGCCAAGTGCATGTGAATTTGTGGTGTGAGCAGTCACATGCACTCCATTCCTGTGTGTGTCATTGCATGCACCCTTTGATTTGTGGACAAATGTCTCCCCAGCTTCTGCCTGAAACGGCTCTTATTCCAAAGGCAAAGGGCAAGTTTCAGTCATCAAAACTGCTGGGTTAATCATTAAACCTCACTGAAAGTAAGACAGCTGCTTACTGTATGTTAATGAGTGTGGGAAGTGTTGCCAATGCAGACGGAAAATCCATTTTACGTGGGCAGGAGAATATCAGTAATGCATTATATTGCTGAAAAACACCTGCTAGGGAGAAGAATGGAAAATAACCTACTGTGCACACTGGTGAGGTAATTATATTGTGAAATGCAACAAAATCTGCAAAGGTTCAGGCCAGATCTTGTGGCACATGGGGCCAGTCTGCCGCCTGCTGCCACCAGCTTCTGGCCACCAGGAACCAGGGACATGGTAAGTAACGCTTGAGGGGAGCCCCTGTGAATGCACCTACTCATCCCGCTGCACGAAACGTGTCTCACGCTGCAGTCACTTCACAAATCAGTGACAGGAATGTGCTGCAAAGCCACAGGAAAGGAAGATGCTCGTTAACAATGAGGTGATGACCTGTTGGTGTCCAGTGACCTTATTGGAACACTGGCTCTCAGCAAACACGGTGTGAAGTGCCTGGCTCGCTGCGGTGCAGCAGGGCGGGCAGCCCCTCCTGCCGGCTGTCAGCGCGGCGATGGGCTCTGTGTGTGCTGGGTGGAAACCAGAATCCTAACAAGTTCCTGTCTGAAGGAGTCTGTCCTGTATTTTAGTCCACCATCACTGTTATTCCTAGTGTAAAGTAAATAATTGAAGAAGCTAACCTAACCTGGGTTCTTCTCGTTCTGTTGTCTCACCAAGAGGCAGCTCCTCAAGTTAACGACCCATTCCATGTTGCGTAGCATTTAAAAGTAAACATCCCACGCTTGATAACTGGGATGCCAACAGCAGGATGGAACCTTGCAGTTGCCAATTTACTCACATCCAGTCTTAATTAGCAAGCATCTATTTCTCAGTGGGGCTGGACTGTTGGCTGTAGCAATCCAGGCTGCAAAGGTGATCCATTTGGGAGTCTGAGTGCACGGATAAGTTGGGGACGGGGGAGACTTTGGGGTGTAAAGCAGGTAGGTACTACTTATCCCTCTTTAGGCAATGGGAGCTAAGGCTGACACGTTAGGGCTATTTCAGGCTTTTAGTTTTGGTAGCCGGTTCTGAGCTCGCACTGATGTTGGGGGATGCTGAGCACTTGACGTTCCCTAACGACAGCCAGTGTGTGAGCAGCCAAGGTGCAGGCTGCCTGGGGCAAACCTCGGGCAGTGCTCAGAGTAGGCTGGTGCTGTGCTTCCTATAGAAATCATGCTTTCTTCCCTTAAATTAGGTGCAACACTTAATTATGTTGTACTGCAAATTGCAGAACGGCGTATCTCTCCTTGCGCTGACCGTGGCCGTCAGGTGTCCTAGCAAGGTGACAGGGTTATGACGTGGATGTCTCAAACCTGACTCCAGGCTGCTTCCCACTAAATGCTTTTCACACTGACACCCCAAAGCTGATCTAAGTAGCAACGCCTGCCTGAGCTTTCTGGTAAAGAATGTTTGTAGCTTGCCAACTGTTGTAAATCTCTCAGATTTTAAAGTTGCTCTGTTCTAATTTTCCATCTTAATTCTTTCTGCATACAGTGGGGCAGGTCATTATGTGATACACAGAGGTGCAGACTTAGAATGGTGTGATGGACCTCAGGTGGAGTTACTCTTGCCTTTTATGAAGGGCAACACAGGTCAGGATATAATGCAGTCTTCAACAAACCAGAAAAACCCCTTCATCTTGACATAGAGACAACCAAATATACGCAGCTGAGGGACCAAATTTGCCATGAAACAGTGAACTTACTGAGCTTTTTCATGCAGTCTCGAAGCCTGGTTTCTAAACTGAGTACACGCTGGTGTAGTTCCTCATAGTCGTAAGCACCAATTTCTTCCTGAATCCCAGTGAGGACAGCAGACAGGTTCCTAATTTCCTCCTTGAACTGGGTAATTAATTTGGCGTCGGTTTTGTATTGTTCCAGAACTGGGATCAGAGGCAGGAGCTCATCCATCTTTTCCTTCAACTCCTGTTAAGGACAATTAAATGTGCGTTAGAGCAGTTTTTCAATCCTCTAATTGTAATATTTATACCTGATAATTGAAATGAGTTGAGAATTACTGATTTTGGGTACAGATCTATTATCATAGTACTGTGGAAGTCTTGGAGACCTAAGACTTGGTGGCAGTAATACACTGTAAATACACGTACCACAAGTACCCCATTACATCAGGTGATGAGACACAACCTGTCACGTGTCTGCCTTTCCAGTGGGGGTCTCAGTCCCTGCTGAGTGTACCGGGAGAGGAGGGGGAGGCCTGAGCATGCGGTGACACCGGTGGAGGTCATGCCTGCTATACAGTGCTGCCCTACTTGGGGAGCTGGTCGTTGCATTTCACTCCTGAGAAACCCTGAATTAACTCCCCTGTGGATGCTGGACAGTGTTCAGTTCTGTCCCAGCCGCAGTGATGAAACCTCATTCTTCTCAAGTGAAAAGCCCATGGATCATAACTGCGCCATGTATCGCTCACCCTGCTGCAACACTCGGTGCCTTTGAACTCCCTCAGCTCTTTCCTGTCTGCACTGTCACAAATCAGGTTTTTGGCACGTGTGGTTCTTCACTGCCAATCCCATTTTTACACACAGATTACACAAATAAGGCAGCAGTTGGATATTGGGTTGCCCTTTCTCAGGCTTTTGCTGAGTCATACCCTTGGAGCATTTGTCTCAGGTTGTAACTCATATTGCTGCTTATCTGTCATTTCTTAATTGTTCTTTAAAATGCACTGATCAGAAGGGCTTTATTGAATTCAAAGATATTTTTGAGGTTGGTTTTTGTTTGGTTATTGTTCTGTAGAAAAACCCAACAAAGCCCTGCTGTCACAAGGTTTTCCTTTGCTGAAAAGCAGACAGGTTTGTCCCACATGTATCATCTGTATGGAGAGATTTGCATCGCTCTCTCTAATTTGAGGGAACAGCAGGACTCCCATGAGCAGATGCCAGAGGGATGTGAGGAGCTGCAAGCCGGGACAAAACCCAGGCGAAGGGTGGAAATAGAGGTTTGGCAGGTACTAGCATTAGGTGGTAATAGAGCCTGGGCTACAGAAGGGACTGAAAATCCAGGTTCTGAAGAGCAGCTGGTATAGTCAGCAGGTTAAAAGGGAAAGCAAAGGGATCTAATGGAACCCCAGGCACAAGGAAGAGGTGCACAAGCAAACGTGGTAGAGGTTAGCGTGGTCTCTGGGGCGTGTGGAGACGCACACGCAGTTTGTTACACTGCTTGGACCAACAGGTGCGATAAACAGGGCAGGACGTTTCCAAAGTAACGTGATGATGCCAAGTGCGTTTTTGCTGAGGAGATGGGAAAGAGGCTGATGGGGGAGGGCAAGGGCAGGAGGGAGTGTCAGCGTTTGAGCTGCCTGAAGATCTACCTGCGAATTTTTGCTTCTCAGACATGTTCTAAGGCAGCTCGAGAGTTCTGCAGTATCCTCGTAACCAAGCTGAAGTAGCCCTGTCGCTTGAACAATAACTTTCATATGGAGATGATCAGTTACTTCACATCAAGCCTTGTACGTGTTGTTAGGAAGTGTATTTTGTGCGCAGATCATCCTGTTAGCTAGACAATTGCATTTTAAATTACAAGCAGATACGTCGTTATGAACGGATTTGAGAGTATGAGGTGTTCTACTGGTTGTGTTCCCAAGGGGCGATTGGGTATCTCCTGCCTGGCACAAATGCCGATTTGACTGAAGCACGTCCATATGGTCAAGTGTGATCTGCATCAAATCTGTGCTCACTGGCTCTCATCAGCACGGACCCGCAGTGCTAGAGTATCTCCCTTCAGTAACGATGGTTTTGGTGTGTTCATGACTATTGGTTTCTGCCGACACTCCCTGCTTGTTGCTGTGGTGAGTGGCACAGGGACTAACCTGTACTGCCACATGGGTAGGTGGCAGATGTGTTCTGGCCCTTCATGCCTGCTCTATCCAGAATAGGTTGTTCTGTCTCAGGAAAGATAAAGCACTGGAATTTCAGTCGATCAAGTTTCAGAGAGCCAGCAGCGTATTATATCAGTCTGACCTTTTGAATTACTCTATAGTTCGACTAGCTGGAAATCTGTTTCATACTCCTGGCAAACTGTCACACTGGAGTTCACTGACTGGCCACTACAAATATAAAATATTTGAAAGGGTAGAATACTGCAGAAATCGCCTACGTCTGACATCCTGTGTCAGACATACATTGGGGTACTTTGTGCCCAAGGAAAACTATAATGAGTGCACAGAATATTTAATGTTGTTATACAAATGTGTTGTTATTTAGCCATGAGTGACGAAGGGAAAGAAGGTAGAGCTGTTTCTTACTACCTGACAATAACTGGAAGGACGTGCTCAAACTCTAAACCAAGAATGGTGACATAAAGAATAAAGTTTGTTCGTCAGATCATTAGTGTACTTAATTCCTGATATTGCTAAGACCCATTGGATACTCAGTGTTTCTGAAACATAAATTAGACCCCTTAGCTCTGTAACTGTTTAGGTTAGCACCAGTTTAGCATCAGTTAGAAAATGAAGTCTGTTTTATACGGACTTTCCTAAAAACTTAAAAATATTTATTAGTTAATGTAGTGCAATCCTCAATGTATTTTCTAGGTCCTGTCTTGCTGCATCAATTTATCAGACCCGATATTTAAAGAAGTTAAATATGCTCTAGTAACATTTTTTCCTTAAGACACGATTTTTTCCTTTCCTCAAACAGATTTTTCAGAGCACGCGATGGGATTTTGTAATCCCTGCAACCCTCCTTCCTCACAAAAAAACTGGCTTGTGGGTTTTGTTGTCATTAAAATTCCTTGGAAGTCTCTTCTTAATCACACAAAAGTGAGTGGGAATGATTGCCCTCCTCCCCGTTCCCAAATTCGAAACAGCAAACATGAAATTAGATCTTAATTGTACTGGGTAAAAATTCCAGTGGCCTGATTTATTACAGGCTTTCTTCCCTTCAGCTGCAGCGTCAGGCAAGGGTAGAAGTACGGAATTTACTAGCAGTCTGCTCTTCATTCCGTTGGATCTCCCCATTTGTCACCAGAGCTTGAATGAATATAAATTTCTTGGCATGACATGCACATTGACACAGAAAAAAACAAGAATCTGTTTACAGTGACATTTTTCTAATGACTTAATAATTAATGGTTGCTCCCTATTACAATTAAATTGACCAGAGCAGCAGATTGTCATCATAAAGGAAGATGTATTCTGCTTCCCTTCGTAAAGGCGCTCTGGTGTAAGCGTTTCAAGCTGGGTTTAGCAGTCTGTGCCCTGCTGCTTCAGACATTGCTGCCAGCAGGTCAGTGTTAAAATAAAACCTACCTGAAAATGC